GGGGGGGGGGGGGGGGGGGGGGAAGGGGGATGAATTGAGCTTTTTGCACATATGTCATGAACGAAGCTTTTTCCAAAAAAAAAAGATGTAGACCGGGAAGTATTCAGACAGTCTCTCTCCAACTTACGATTAATTTTAGGCAGTGAAAATGCTTTCATCCTAGAAAGCTTTGAATGGATTTGTTCGACATGAGACGGAGGGGGAGGGGAAGGAGGTGACGGGGGATCGAGGGGAGGGAAGAGGAGGGGGGATGAGTTTGAGCGTTTTGCACACATGTCCCGAACGGAGCACCATTTTGCAAAGATATGGACGCTGGGAGGTATTCAGACATCCTCTCCACAACCTACAATTTGCTGGATTTAGAAGGGTAGGCAATCTTTGGCTTGTTTTTTGGATAATCTGTGAAAAAAGGAATCATCGGTACCCCAATCAATGGATCAGTGCTGTATGTAAGTGTTGGAAAGAGTAGCATTACTGCTGGCAAAATTTCTCATTATGCCGATTACAGCATTCAAATTGACCCTAGAAGCCTAAACGGCGAAGGCCTGATAGACTACAGCATGAAAGAAGAGTCTGAGAAAAAAGAAAGTAAGAATGAGATGACGTTTCGGTCCGTTAAGTCATATACGCCTTAACACTGCGACAGGACCTCGTCAGTATGACGGTCGTAACTCTGACTCGTGGAGGAGGAAGGAAAGAGGGGATGGAAGGAGGGTGAAAAGGGACAAGAAATACAGAAATTTGTTTTTTATCTGTAAAAAGAATCATAAACCATTTATTTGTCTTGTATGATGGTTATTTGTGATTGACCTGTTTAGGTTGTCCAAACTTTAATATATTGTTCTGAGGTAAAACTTGAAAAATTTATCATTTTTATTAAATTTTCATTTCTTTCTCTAGCATTACATTAATGATTATTGCACATACAGTGTATCCGAACAGAATCGAGTACTTAAAAACATATCAAATAAGAACTAGTACTGTCCGAAATGTCCCAAATTTCCTTGGCAATATACGTTCCTCCAATGCTTTCGCAGTGCTAAAGCTGGTGCCATTATGGATAATCGAAGAAATTGATCCGCGTCACTTTCCACATTCCAAGGGGACTCAAGATTCTTGATAACCTCAAAAAAAATTGTCTTTTTGCGAAATTACGACTTTCGATTCTTAATAATTTTAAAGCCACGATTTTAAATTAAAAATTATCTTAGATGTTTTTAAAAGTTTTTTTAGAAGATTTTTTAAAATTTTTTTAGAATAAGGGAAATTTTTTGAATTTTTGAAAAATTTTTAAAAAAAACCAATGAAAAGTCTTAGAATAAAGCCTCTCGAGGGTGCTCATAAGCGAACTGGCGGATATCTCGATTTTCCAGTATGCATTAGTACCAATTTTTGAACGACGATAGAATCATTGGTACAGTGGCAGAAAATCTATCCACCGATCTCGAGAACAAGAGTAAATTTTGCCATCACCTTGCTTCTAAGCAATCCTGGGGGAAAATGAAGCCATATTTAGGCTTTTTTAAATTAGCTATGCCTTCCAGGAAATGAGTATGAGGCGGTCCCACATTTTAACCTAATTTCCAAAAAAAAAAAATGAATTAACGGAACATACGTGATATTGCAAATAAGCATACTGCGTGGAGGTGATACCCGTAGTAAATGTTCGATGCTCTTGCTCATATCGATGTTCTCCGTTTTTTTGATATAAATAATTGCTTGTGTGTAAAATGCACGATGTTTCATTGGGAAAAATTTACGAAGACCACTCTCTAGAACACTTTTAACGAGTATTTTTAGAGTTTTTTCGAAATATGCATTCCGGACTCTGACCGTTCCACATTTTGTTTTTTTTTGGACCGTCCACTTGTTTTTCAGAATAAAGTTTCCACTTGTTTTTAAGATCACTGTTCGACCTTCTCATGGCTGTAAATTATTATCCTCGAGATGGTAGGCATAAGTACGCCTTTGATATTTTTACGTCTCTCACAAAATTTTTTTGGTGATATGGGAGCTATCCGGCTCTCTCCTTTTGGAAGAAAGAAAAGCAACTGCGAAAAAAAAATTCGAAAATTCGTAGTTTTCAAAATTCGAAAAAAATTTGAAAAACATATTCGGAAAAAGAAAAAACTGAAATTTGACAAATTCTGAAGGAAACGAACTGTATGGCTGTAAACGAACTGTCTGGCAAGATTCGAAAAAAACTAAAACCCGACAAATTCTGAGGAAAACAAACTGTCTGGTTGCATTTTGCCGCATGTATAGGAGGAATCGATCACTGAACAGATAACATCGTTGATCGAAAAATTCAATGGTTTGAAGTAATCCTCATCGAATGGATCAAATCGTTGTTGCAATTCACTAACAGCCTCTTCAGTCATAATTCGCCTCAAATTACCCCAGTCGCCGTGCCGGATGTGACGTGCGCATAATTCAGCTGCCTGTGAAAGCAAGAAAAAATGTGAATTTGAAAATGTAATGATAAGTAGTGGCCATTAGAAGGTCGAATCATAAGTGGACGGTCCAAGTGGAGCAGCCGAAGTGGGTTAAACTGATAAATAATTCGCGGCCCATGGTAGGCCGGGCCGTAATTTCTAAAGCAACGGTCCGGGCCATGGAAAATATGGTTCGGCCACAATCCATAAATTTCAATTTTGGGTGGAATCAATAGGCTGTTATTGTGGTACAAACCGTGCGACTTGTTGAAAAGTCATGTACATTTTGCATGTTATTTTTGCTGCAACCGTTACACTGACGAGGTCCAGTTGCAGCATTGAACAGGAATGTATGTGACTTAATGGACCGAAACATTCCTATTCAGGTTTTTTAATCCGATTTATCTTATTCGCCTTCCTTTTTAACCCTTACTTTTTACATAAACACACATCATCTAAAATTAAAATTACGATGTAAAATGGAGTATGAAGAAATTGCTCTGTTAATGTTTCATCCCTTAGCTGTAAACACAGAAATTTAGATCTCCCATAGAGAGCAAGCCTATCTGTACTTGTACAGAGACTGTACAACGAATGTACAGTCACTTTCTTCATCGACTGAAACAGCAAAGACAGCGCTTCTCCCTTGAACTCTGTTACCTGAACAATTGATTATAAAAAATACATAATTTCAATGCAAAAAGTGAAGCAGTGAGGCACTTTTCAAAGGTAAAAGATAAAATAATGAAGTAGAAAAGATCAAGAAGGGAAGAAAACGAAGAACCTGTATTGCACCATTGAGAAAACCCTCCACGGTGAATTCTTTTTCGAACAGTTTTCGATATCTGAACTGTGCAAATACATTGCCCAGCCTTCGTTGCAGATCAAATGTTGGTACCACATATTTCTGCTCTTCTAGCAAAATAAATGGCTCGCTTTTGGCTCTTGACGTGCATGGCTCTGGTGGTGGAACAGCTGTCGCCTGAAGTAATAACGTTGGAAGAAAAAAATATGCAAAAAAAAAGCACTTTTTTCCAAGATTTTCGAATTTTTCAAGAAAATAAGACTCAAAAAATTCCTCAATACCCAAAGATTGCAAAAGCACCTCTGAAAAGAAAAACTATGCCAAAAAACATCTTTTTTTTTTTTAAAATTCCTCAAATTTTCAAAAAAAAAAAAAATAGAACATCTTAGAAAAAAAACCGTTTCTCACCAAACCTCCAAATTACCGAGTTTTTCACCAG